TTTTATTAAAATAAAACCATTTAGACTGGGTGTTCGGATTTATATGTCACTTAGTATGCTTATGTTTGTTTTGTTTTACTTTTAATTATGTGTGCTATGTGCCTCCTCCCAGGATGAGTCTTGTGTCATTTTATTATCTACAAGAGAGTAAATGTATCCATCTATCTGTCATCTTCATCGTGTAGAACTTCCAGAACTCTTTTGTCCGTAGGGTGTAGAGATAGTTAGGTTAGTAATACTGGGGAAAGTAACCTCAGGCAGTACACATATCGGATTAACTAATTGTCTTTAAGCTCCTTATAGCAGCCCGGGTGCCCCGGTATTTAGGTTTCGGCCTGCACGGCTACTTCGATGTTAAAAAAACTATGCGATACATTTTTGAAACTGCCTTTCAAAAAGTTTTTGTAGGCTAAATGATGTTTTATAATTTTCAACTGTCCGTGCTAATTCATTTTTGATTGCTTTATTACTACTCTTAGAACACAATTTTACTAAAATTACTGGTAAGTCAATTAAGCTTTTCAGAAGTATTTTGCTTTATACCGTAGACCGTTCCTAGAGCAAAAACACAAAATAGTTTTACGACAAATTTTAATACTATCTTATAAACGTTTATACAATTTTATACGACATTCAAGCTTACTGAACAAATTTGTTTCATAATAGACTTATACCGGTACTATCTGATACGAGTTTATTCGTCTGCGAAAATCAATTAAATTGTTTTATTACCGCTATGTGAAACATTTATATAATTAATTTATTGATATTTTCTTTCTAATATTATCGCAAGCTAAAGCATATTGCACTCTGATGGTACCTTCAAAATAATTATGTAGTTATCATTAACACCGTCATAATAAAAACTGCATATAAAAACGAACAGCTTTAAATTTGTTCAATTTTTAAAACGGGGTGTGGTTAAGCTTTGAAGTCAACATGTTTCCCTCAATTCAACCGACTTCGTACCTTCAACGATTCCAAGATATCAACGCTGATACATCGAATTCGTAACAACCTATACACACGGATGGGCTTTTTTTATTGAGCCTTTTCTCCTGTATCACATCTCTGCTGAACTAAAGTATGCACATAAATTTGATATTTTCTTAAAATATGCTGCCACTCAAAGTTAATCGGACAAACAAAATTTTGTTCACATTAAATTTGAAATAACTTTTCTTGGTCATCATTATCTTGGAAAAAAATTGAAAATGTTTGTTGTTATACACGCTGTAACTAAAAGGTGCATTTTGCCCTAAACTTCTGAACACCCTGTGGAAACATTGGATTACTGAATAAGTTGTCTACGTATGAGAATTTGGAGCCTCAACTTTTCGCAACAGGTCATTTTTTGATCCATGTCAATATCGCAATTATTGATGAATATATGCTGTTTTGAAGAAAATCATGCGAATCATAGCCATAAACAATTTAATTTAAAAAATTACAGTGACAACATTTGCAAGAAAACTATGCAAATCATAACCATAAACAATTTAACTTAAAAATTACAGTGAAATCATTGGTAATAAGAAATTGTTATCAAAAACGAGTATTTCCTCCCCGGCTTGCATTACAACTCCCATCCTCTGTGGCATAGACTCAGCTATTGTGTTTTGTGGTATTTTCTCCCACTCGCTTACCGAATCTTCCAACGCAGCCAAAGTTTCAAATTCTCCGTAGTTCTGCTTAAGCGTTCTTCCTAATGTATCCCAAATGTGCTCAATGGGGTTGGGATCCGGACTCCTTGGCGGCCAGTCTAGTACTTGAATTCCAACATCGTTCAGGTATTGCCTAATAATTCTGGCTATATGCGGCCGAGCATTATCTTGCATTAGAAGAAAGTTTTCTCATATAAAGGGAATATGAGAAACCGCACGTTCTTCCAAACACTCTCTAATGTACCTGTTGGCATGAAGGTGTCCTCCTCGTAACGAAAATAGATCTGTGCGGGATTCCAAATACCGCCCCATACCTCACTCCTCCACCACCAAATTGCACTCTAAGAGCGAAACAACTTTGAGCATAGCGTTCTCCACGCCTTCTCCACACTCTTAGGAGACCATCTGGTGACTATCTTGTAAAACGAGACTCGTCTGTAAAAGGAACGTTTTTCCAGTTGTCCATATTCCAATCTGCATGAGTTCGAGAAAATACCAAGCGCTGCCTTCGATTACCTACATCCAACAGAGGACCTGTAGCAGGTACACAAGATGACAGGTTTCCCTCTCCAACCTTCGGCGTACGGTATTAGGTGTAGCTATGGTACCATGAACATCATCCAATCTTCTAGCCAAATCTGTAGCAGGAACTGTCCTTTCTCGAAGAGCTTGAGGTCTCAGAAACAGATCAACAACTGCGTTTGTTGTTTTCCGTCTGCCCTGCCCAGGTCTTCTTTAGTAAGAACCATGCCTCTAAATCTTTGTATCGCATCGAATACGGTACTGCATGGAACGGCTACTTGTACCGGTGTTATTTCCGTTGAGTATTGCTAGAAAAGAATCTTTTTGATATGCAATAAAAAGTCTAACAGACACAGCCTACTTGAAACAATTTCTTACCCGGCAAAGCCAGCTTGAAACAATTTCTTGTTTGATTCGCATGATTTTCTTCAAAACAGAATATATTTGTCAATAATTAAGATATTAGCATGAATCAAAAAACAAACTGTTGAGAAAAGTTGAGGCTCAAGATTCTTATACGAAGACACATTATCAGTAATTCAATGTTTCCACAGGGTGTTCAGAGGTTTAGGGCAAATTGCACCTTTTAGTTTCACCCTGTATAACAACAAATATTTAAAGTATTTTTGCAAGATCAACAGTCGATAATATTGACAATGAAATTACCTACCACTTGACGAAAAAATTAACGAAATTGATGCAAAGGTTAAATAGTTATTTAAAATTTAATTTGAACAAAATTTTGTATGTCCGGTTAATTTTGCCTGGCAGTGTTTATGAAGCATAACACTGAGATGGTAAAAGTATTTCATAATATGGAAGCTATATTTTATATTGATTCAACCTCACTTTACGTCGACCATTTTTAAATGTATTACAAAAAATCAATTTTGCAATGATAAAGTACACTAACTACTTTAGTGTTTATATAATGGTATAAGATGGATGTTTTATTACAATGCAGGCGAAAATCCGAAAAAAAAACAGAATGGAAATTTTGATGCTTCCTGCTAAAATTCAATAACTAATGTACGTGACACGCCTGAAATGTTTACCACATATATCCCATATCTTATACAAAAATGTCTTGCGCAGTAAAATATCTACTATCAGATTGCAAATCGAATGTCTGCCTGTCAAGTATTGGGTATCAGAACTAAATGTATGGTTATGGTTACTCAAACATATTTCATTTGCTGAATCAGATCTAATATCTAATCTTGTTATCTAGAGGATCATTAAAAAATTAATAACTCTGAATGGGTACACTTTAACAACAAAAGCTAACTTTTAGTGTTAGTCAAAACAAAAAAAGTTACATCCAAGATAACAAAACCAATTTTATTAAAACTGTTTTATTCTAGCTCGATAAATATTATACAATCGTCATAATAATAAAAGAATATTCCTCTCTATAACTGTTTTATAACTGTTGCATACTATGCCTTATAATAATTTTAAACATGTTTAAGCAATTATCCGGTAAAAGTTGTGGAAGCTAAATTACTGCACAAGAGTGCGCCCTTTTTGGGCTTATAAGCGTTATACAGGGTGGCCAATATATAACTTACTGATTTAAATTGCACGCATTTCAGTAGGTGGTGTCATAGTAGTTGTTTAACTCACATGTGCTCAATTTATCATGCAGCGCTACACGATCCCACAAGCGTCCGTATTGTTAAAACGTTTTACTAAAATAGTGAGTCGATTGTTGCAACGATTCGGAAGCTACGACAAGATTTCGGTCCAAATACTGTGCCCAGTGTCAACACCATTCGTCAGTTGGTGCGGAAATTTGAACAAACAGGTGAAGTTGAAGACTTAACAAGGTCGAGCCGTGTTCGAACTGTTCGTACTCCAGAAAGTGTAGTGGAGCGCCCTGAGACGTCTACCAGACATCGTTCCCAAGAATTGGGTATTCGTCGTACGTCATTGTGCACTATTTTAAATAAAGACTTGCATTTGCGGCCATGCAAAATTCGGTTAACCCAAGATCTACAACCTAGTGACCATGAAAGTCGCCGACAATACAGTCATGCTAATAAGCAGAATTGTCGTATCTGGGCATTAGAGAACCCTCGTATCACCCATCAACGACCACTACATCCTCGTCGAGTCAGTTTGTTGCGGTGTTGAGGTGTCATTGGATCTTACTTCTTTGAAGACGCTGCAGGTGGCGAGCAAACTATGATATGGTGCAAAACTTCGGGCTCCTCAAATCCAACAATTTAACCTGCAAAACATGTGGTTCCAGCAGGACGGCGCAACTTTTCACACAGGTGGGGAAGCAATGAATCTTTTGCGAACAAATTTCCGGGGCTTTTGCCAACAAATCAAATACTGTAGAGCAGCTGAAGAACAATATTACGGAAGCGATTGAAATTTCTCCCGAAACATACCAAAAAGTGATGGAAATGTAATCAAGAGGGCTCATGTTTGCGCAGCTTCGTAAGTGGATATTTGTCTGATATTATTTTTCATACATAATTTTGAAGTTTCAATAAAAGATTAAGATGAAAAAAAACGGACGTATTTTATTTCATTTTACAAATATTCAGGATATAAACCAGTCAGTTACGTATCGGCCACTATAAACGCTGTTAGAACGATTATTTTTATAAAAATAATGTTGTAAATGTTATTAGGTTGTATAAAACATTAGTTTTTGGGCTGAAAATTAAAAAAAAATTATTTTTAATCTAACGCTGGATTAGATGCAATATATGCTCAAGCGACATCACCCTGTACTCAATCATCTTAACAAGCCAAAGCCCCAACGCACAATGATTGTAAATTATAATGCTTAATCATATAGCCAGATGTCCCTACGGAGACGATCTACGAGAGTTTCGTCATCGGCAGTACCCACCAGTACGACATCGCACCGCGTCGTTTTCCGTTTGAGCTTTGCATAAAATATTTTGAGTGGTAACGCGATGACGCAAATCTAGACGCCGTTTTCCGGAAAGTGTTGTTTTTTTTCTATATTGTGGCTTTAGGACAAAGGGGATGGACGTTAAAAGAACTCGAACATGTGGAGGAATGTGTCGATTTGAATAAATGAGTTAGTACCACACAGCTGTAAACTATCTATGCATGGAAGCTTTGTAGTTCTGTGACAAATAGCTAAAAGGGCATGTGATTTTTCTCGACTTATCACGTTCTAACGTATTCGTTAAGAACGTCTATAAGAACAATTCAGTATAAGTGGATATATGAAGAATTGGGCCATTAAAATCACAATCAAACTTGAGGCTAGGATACCTTGACAACGTCAGGTTTATCGTATATGTCGAAAGAATGGAAACCCTTTTAAATGTTTGCCACAGAGATAGTCAAAAAACGCTATCTAAGAAATACTTCACACAAAAAATTGAAAGGGTTTATTTGATTAATCTGAGAAGGTAAATACAATACAAACGTTCTTAAAATATATCGTTGACCTAGGATATTCAAGCAAAAATAATAAGTCTTTCAATTGATCTTTTTAAGCACTTTTTCTCATGTCAGGCTGAACGTATGTCGGACTTCTTGTTAGACGCGTCTATGGATATCATTTTCTGGATTTAAATTAATTCAAGATGTATATTAATGTTAAAAAAATATTATTATTATTAAACTAATATTATCCCTAAAAGGGGTTGCTTTGCAAGACTTTGAGAAGGAGAACTTCATCTCATCCCCCAAAGCTCAAAAATGTTCTCACTGTATGTGCAGTCTGAAGCAGAGTTGTCTTCTGTAGCAGATGAATGAGGTATGATGGTAATCCTAATTTGTACATATTTTTGGGTAAGTTAGAAGACACCAATCCGTCTGCCGCTATCACCACAGGTATTATACTGACTTTTTTCAGTTTCCACATCCTCTTAATTTTGCATGCTATATTCTGGTATTTGCTCTTCGGTCCTAGTGACGTTGTACCTCAGTGGAATCGATATATCTACAATCTGACACTCTTATTGCTCTTTATCTATCAGCACAATATCTGGACTATTGTAATCAACCGTTTTGTCTGTAAGCATGGGTCTGTCCCAATATAACAAGGTACTCATTGATTCGAGTACGGGTGCAGGTTGATATTTGTAGTAAGTACTTATGAGACAGCTGCTGGTGGATAATCCTCGCAACCGCATTGTGTCTACCCAGATATTCTGTCTCCGATAGTGCTCAACACCCAGCGATTATGTGCTCAATTGATTCTCCAGGTTTATTGCACATTCGGCATCTTGCGGATTTCAGGATATATTTCTCATAATTTTTAGTTCATATAACCCCGTCCTGCATAGCGGCGATAAAAGCTTCAGTTTCTGGGTGTAGATAGAAGCTTTTCAGCCATCTTAATGATTGTTCTTTGTCGACAGTTGTCTTATTCAGGTCCACTGGATACTTTCCATGTAAAGTTTTTTCTTTCCACGCTTGAATTCTGTCAGACGTAGTAAATATTTCTTCTGTTTGCCGATATGCATTACCTAATTGTAGAAGTGTATAAGAATCGTCCACTTCAACCAGTTGTAGTATCAGTGGTTGAATTGATCCTCGGAAGTATTCGGTCATGGTATGCTCTTGAGTCCGGCATTATTTTGATATAGTTAGTAGGCCTCTTCCTCCCTCTTTTCTTGGTAGACTATACAACCGGTGTACACAAGAGTTTGGATGCAGGAACCTAAATTTTGTTAAAAGTGTGCGCGTAAGTCTGTCTAGTTTCTCAAGGTCGGTTTGATTCCTCTTTAAAATACCGAAGGAGTATGTCAAGACTGGTACTGCCTAAGAGTTGATAGCACAAAAGAGGTTTTTTGCTTTCAATTTCGTGTTAAGTAACTTGGTTACTCTTTTTTTATATTTCTCCTCGAACAGAGCTTTGAGCTTTGTATGGTCGAAGCGATGATTCTGTTCAATGCCAAGATAGTATGTATCGTGCTCATCCAAGTTTTGGAAGTCATTAAATTGTTCCTTCGAGTGTTTGCCATGCTTGAGGGACATTGTTGCACATTTATCGTAACCAAATTCCATTCGGATGTCCTGGCTAAAGGTTTTGCAAGTTGTTATTAACGATTGCAGGTCCGATTTTTGTTCTGCATATAGCTTAATATCATCAATGAACATGAGATGAGATCAGCATTGTTCATCTTAGATCTTTGGTCGGTATCCAAGCATACAATCGTTCAAAAGTGTGGAAAGTGGGTTTAACGAAAGATAAAACCAGGGTGGCTCAAAGTGTCGTCTTGAAAAATCACTCTGCGTATATCGATACTACCTATGTGCTCTTGACTAACCCATATATCTGTGTTCCATTTTTCTATCGCATGCTGTATAAGGCTTATTATTTTGGGACATACTATGTATATCTTTAGTACTTTTAATAGCCAGTCATGGGGTACTGAATCTAAAGCGTTATGGTAGTCAATATAGCACATGTGTAGATTTCGCTTACGCTTTCGAGCTTACCCCAAAATGATAGCATCGATGGTGAGTTGTTCTTTAAAGCCATATGAGTTCCTCACATACCCTTTTTGCTGAATCGACAGTATTTCATTCTGCTCGCAGTAATTATAGAGCGAATCACTTAACACTAATGTAAGCAGTTTATATACAGTTGAAAGGCATGTGATCGATCTGTAATTTTTTGGATCATTTACTGACCCTTTCTTATACAGTATGTAAGTTGTGCCCTTTGTCAAGTACTGGGGTAAGCATTCATGTTCATTAAGGATGCTGTTGAACGTCTTGGCAAGGTTTCTGTGGACTGCTGTAAATGTCTTCAGCCAAAAGTTCTGAACTTAATCTGGTCCACGAGCTTTACAATGTGAAATCCGGGGAGCCTGGAGCTATTCCGCTCTAATTTCCTCAACCACGTAGGGTTTTATTCTACATTCTTGAGCTCAGACCTTATAGAATGCCAGTAATTTTTGAAGTCTTCTTTATAAATATGCTGTTGGTTCTTATTTGGCCTATCACTGCTACCCTCTAGACTTGCGTAGAATTTTCTTTGGTTGCTTTGAAACAGCGAGTTTTGTAACTTTCGTTTAGTGGACTCTACCTCCGTAGCCTTGCAGATTTTAATCTGAGCTTCTGTTGTAATGTATACTAAGAGACATATAAATCCGAACACCCAGTTTAAATGGTTTTATTTTAATAAAATTTTGTATAAGTACTTAATGAACCATAATAAGTGAATGATAAAAATTTCAAAATGATTGCACTGCTTGAAAGCCCTTTGTCCTTTAATAATGTGTGGATGCACCCTGATGTGCTACGCATTCTCCAACGCGCCTAGGCATGCTTCTGATCAGGTGGTCAATGTCCTCCTGTGGTATCTCATTCCAGGCAACCACCAACTCCTCTCGAAGTGCTTCTAGAGTCTGAGGAGGACGTTGCAAATTGAGCAATCTCCTACCCATCATATCCCACACGTGCTCAATTGGGGATAAGTCGGGAGATCTTGGTGGCCATGGTAACAATGTGACATCATTATGTTGAAAGAAGTCTATTGTGACTCTTGCAACATGTGGTCGGGCATTATCTTGTTGGAAAGTTGGATCTGCCAGGGCGTCAAGATAGGGTAAAAGATGGGGTTCTAGAACTTCGTGGATATAACGCTGCGCGTTCATGTTATCTCTGATGAAAATTAAAGGTGACCTGGAACCATCAGCTATAGCACCCCAAACCATAACTCCAACAGTGTGATGAACATGTCTTTCAACAAAAAACTGTGGATTCCTCCTTTCACCACGTCGCCTTCTAACCCTGGCACGACCATCGTGCATGCCTAAACAAAATCGAGACTCGTCACTAAAGACAATACTGTTCCATTCCTGATCCCAGAGTGACCGTTGTCTGCACCACTCAAGGCGATTACGTCGGTGTTCTCGAGTTAAAGGGAGGACCCAGTGTGGCCGGTATGAAAACAAGCCAAAACTTCTCATTCGTCGGAAAACACTTCGCATGCCAATAGGTCTTCCGTGTTCTGCTAACCATTCATTTGCAATGGACCTGGTAGTGGAGAAACGGTCCCTTAAGGCCAATAATCTTAGGCGGCGATCTTCACGGTCTGTTGTTCTACGGCGGCGTCCAGTGCCCCTTGCTCTTTGCGTACGGCATTCTCGAAGCCATGCCTGACAACACCTAACCACAGTGTCTACACTTCTTTGCACTCTAACTGCAATTTCCCGAAAAGAAAGTCCAGCTTCCCGAAGTCCCACTATACGGCCTCTATCAAACTCACTAAGTTGACGAAATCGTACAGGTCTCCGTACTGTAGGCATCGTAACCGATCGTAAGGGATGTCAAGAACCAAAATCTGCCAACGTTGATTCTTTACTGCGGCTGAAATATTCATTTTTAGAGCGTTAGTGAATTTAAAAAAAGCAGTATAAAAACCGGAATGTAAAACTGATACGGCTGAAAATTTTTTCACTTGTTATTTACAGTAAGATAAATACATTCACCAACTTTTATTAAAATAAAACCATTTAAACTGGGTGTTCGGATTTATATGTCACTTAGTATATCTTTAAATTCGAGGAGTCTCGATTCGAAGTGTAGATCGTTGAGCTGTATATCGGTACTTGATACTATTTCTTGAAGCTTCCTGTAAACTTTTTTGGAGTTGTTGTTATTAAGATATTCGTTTATGATATCTATTTTCATCTCTTTCTAATGTGTTCATCTCCCGCTGTAAGTCCGCGTAGTTGAAATTTTAAGAATTTCGCATGGTGACGACCTGGGTTACCTCTGAGGTTACAACCGAGGTTGCGACCTCACCCGGCGAATTCTACGCACTCTAGGCATTTTAAACAATCACAAAAAGGCTTTTCAATAAGCTACACGAAATTTAACATTTAACTAACACCGTAAATGTACGAAAACTGAAAGCTTCTTCTTTATCACCAAACAACACACGCAGCCACCACAAAAACTTAACGAAAAGACCTTACTATTTTATCACTTATCACGATACGTAAAGAAGTATTGTATTCAAATAAACATAAGTAGGTATTGACCTTTTTGTGTCACTCAGTATCTTTACCGTTCTCCAAACGTTGCAAAGCAGCACAGTCAGATTAT